ACCTACCCAAAAAAAAAAAAAAAAAAAAAAAGGAGTCTCGTAAGTGATCGATTCTAGCCCACAAAACAACTACAAATTCATCAAAACATGAAAACGTTTTTTTAAAAAGAGTAGACTGAAACACATGTAAACAGAAGCAAGAAGGCTAATTTATTATTACCGACGAAGTCGACGAACTTGTTCTTGCGAACGGTTCGACGAGAGACGATGAGGACCCGAGGGAGGGCGCCAGGTAACAATAAGTCGGTACTTTCCATCAGAAGCTTTGATTGTTTAATCAATCCGGGTTCTTTATCCCTTTACTATTTATAGTATAATTTATAGGTGTTTTAGTTGCTTCTTTATTTACTTAATTTTTAGTATTTGATGTGTTTATGCTTTACTAAATTCTTTGCTTCCTTTTGCTGCCTCAGTCGATCCATCCCCAGATACAGCTCGCCGCGTACTGCGTGGATCTCAGAATCTCTAGAATCATCCTACAAGAAAAACCAATATCTTACTGCCACCTGTACTCATCTCGTGCGTGTTGTCTAATTTGTGGAGAGGGCTCGGCTTTTGGTGTTTGCGGCTGAGTGCGGGATTTGGAGTGTCGGGGCCACACGTGTCGGTTGATGCGGGTGAAGATCTGCATCCCGTGGGAGGTGTATCTTGGGCCGGTCAAATTGAAAATAGGTCAAACAGGTGGGCCCCACTACCCTGATTGTCGTCCTGCTCTTCTGCAGCTACCTTCGAGGAAGAAAGTGGGAGCTTTGCTTCTGGATCTATTTTTTGTTTTTTTTTTAAATATCTGATTAGACTAAGGCTCTGTTTGGTTTGGAAGAATGTTAAAGAACGGAAATAGAAAGGAAAAAGAAAAAGAAGATAAATAAGATTCTTTTTCATGTTTGGTTAGGAAGAAAATTGTAAAAAATATTGAAGGAAAATAATATTAAGAGCCTAAACTGTGTAGACTCCATCAAACGTATGAGTATAAACTATGTTAACGCCAATCGATACAAAACCCTAAGGTCAACGCCGGTCAACGCGTAGCCCAAGGTTAACGCCGATCAATGCTATGCTTGTATTTATAGGTTTCGGTTGGGGGGTTTTCGGATAAGAATGAGTGATTTGGCCTTATCTTTAGTTAACAATGGCCTAACCATATTTGTAGATTATATCTAGGCAGTTAGGAACCCCTGGAACAGATAAATCTTGAGAAAACCGCTCAAAACCGATGAAAACGTGTCAAGGGGTCAAAACACCATGACAGGCGCTGCTAAGCCGCGGGGGGCGCGTGTTAGACTTGGCCGACCCGTGCAGGCATGGTTCAGCGACCCACAGGGGCGCGGGTCGGATTCGTCCAACCCGCGCGGGCGCAGGTAGTTTGACCTTTTGCTAAACTTTTTGATTTATGACTTTTCCGGGACTTGTATTTTCCAATGTTTTACGTATTTGACCTTCTTGTTGACTTGTACGATTTGCTAACTTACTTCATGCGCTTGTTAGCTTCTTTACGGAACTTGGAACTGACCGATAAGCATGTCGGGCACTTTGGATCAGACCGACGAGCGCAAGTTGACTGACAAGTGCATTCGGTCGCTTTGAGTTGATCGACGCGTGCGAGCTGATTGACGTGTGCGAGCTGATTTACGTGCACGAGCTGACTGACGTGCGTACGTTGATTGATGTGCGCAGCGACCAAATGGATAATCCTTTTTGACGCGTCCACTCTTCATTTTGATCTATATGTAGGACCTTGTAGGTAATTTTAGATGACTACAGATACCCCCTCCAAAGTGTTTTAGCCTCGTTCTTTTATAGATGAGTCTGAAATAATTTGGATGTGATAGACACCCCACCTTTAATCGGTGTCAATGGACCTATAATTGGCTTAAGTTCTTGACTTCTCCACTTTTCAGTCTATTCAGTATTTTATCGAATAGCTAAAAATTTTTCGGTGCTGCGTTTATCGTTTGATCGTTGTCGAAGTCTTGAATCGAAATTGATAAGTTGATTTTGGCTCGTGTTATTGAGTTGACTTTGAACTAATTACCTGCATCGGAGAGAATACAAGTAACTTATATTATATGTTAATCTATTCAATAAAATCTTTCTAAAACAATTGTTAAATTAAAAAAAATTTCTTGATGAGGACAACGTATAAAACCATGCATGCTAGTTTTTTGAATAAACAGATAATGTAAAGAGGCATATTTCATTAACAATTTTAAATTAGTGCAAACTTTCCAAAAATTAGATCACTACGAGAAAATAGAGTTTTGCTTACGGAAATATAGCGACGGAAATTTTCGTTGCTATATTTCCGTTGGCAAATAAGTTTTGCTGACGGAAATTGGGATTTTAGCGACGAAAATTTTTCGTCGCTAAAACTTTACCGACGGTTTTTTAGCGACAGAAAATTTCCGTCGCTAAAAACTTTTTTAGCGACGGATTTTCTGTCGCTAAAAAACTTTTCAGGGAAATTTTTTTGGGCGCGGGCGCCTAAATTTTTGGGCATCCCGCGCGCCGAGTCCGCAGGGGGATTTATCCTCTCATCCCCCTGCGTCATCTTCCTTCTCTCCTCATCCCCCCTCCACTCCACCGCCTTCTCGTTCATCCCCCTTTTTCCCACGCCGTGACCGACGAGCCGGCGTCAGCCGGTCGTTCGGAGGAGCTCCTGCCGCTGTCTTCTCTCTCGTCATTTCCCTCCCTCTCTCAATTGTACCATTCTCCCCTCCCCTCAATCTCTCTTTTGCTCTCTAGCCTCTTAATCTTTTTTCTCTCTCCCCGACCTTGATCTTCTCTCTGCTCTCTCTCGTCGCCGACGCGCGCCAGCCGACCAAACGACCGCCGTGTCGCCATCGAGAGAGAGGGAGAGAGAAGGGTCAAGGTGGGGGGAGAGAGAAAGAGAGATTTTTTAATTTTTACAATTAGAGTTTACTTTTTGCAATTAGAATTTAATTTTTGCAAAACAAAAAATTGTGGAAAAAAACCCAAACCCTAATAAAAATGTTCATCTTGATGAAATTATAATATAAAAAATTAAATTTAGTACGGATTATGGTTAGGCGAGGGTTAAGGTTAGGGTTGGGTGAGGGTTAGGGTTAGGGTTAGGATTAGGGTTTGGGTTAGGGTTTGGGTTAGGATTAGGGTTAGGCGAGGGTTAGGATTAGGGTTAGGTGAGGGTGGGGGTGATGGTGAGGGTGAGGTTGAGGGTTAGGGTTAGGATTAGGATTAGAGTTAGGCGAGGGTTAGGGTTAGGGTTAGGTGAGGGTGAGGGGTTGGAGTTAGGGTGAGGGTGAGTTTGAGGGTTAAGGTTAGGGTTAGGGTTAGGGGAGGGTGAAGGTGAGGGTGAGGGTGAGGGTTAGGGTTAGGGTTAGGTGAGGGTGAGGGTGATGGTGAGGTTGAGGTTGAGGGTTAGGCTTAGGTGAGGGTGAGGGTGGTGGTGAGGGTGAGGATGAGCTTGAGGGTTAGGGTTAGGTGAGGGTGAGGGTGAGGTTAAGGGTTAGGATTAGGGTTAGGTGAGGGTGAGGGTGGGGGTGATGGTGATGGTGAGGTTGAGGGTTAGGGTTTGGGTTCGGGTTTCAGTTAGGGTTAGGGTTAGGTGAGGATTAGGGTTAGGGTTAGGGTTAGGTGAGGGTGAGGGGTGAGGGTGAGGTTGAGGGTTAAGGTTAGGGTTAGGTTTATGGTTTGGGGAGGGTGAAGGTGAGGGTGAGGGTTGGGGTTAGGTGAGTGTTTGGGTTAGGATTAGGGTTAGGCGAGGGTTAGGGTTAGGATTAGGGTTAGGTGAGGGTTAGGGTTAGGCGAGGGTGAGGGTGAGGGTGAGGGTGAGAGTTAGGGTTAGGGTTAGGTGAGGGTGAGTGTTTGATGGTGATGGTGAGGGTGAGGTTGAGGGTTAGTGTTAGGATTAGGCGAGGGTTAGGGTTAGGATTAGGGTTGGTGAGGGGTAGGGTTAGGGTTAGGGTTAGGTGAGGGTGAGGGGTGTGGGTGAGGGTGAGGGTGAGGTTGAGGGTTAAGGTTAGGGTTAGGGTTAGGTGAGGGTGAGGGTTGGGGTGTGGGTGAGGATGATGGGTTAGCGTAACTGTTATATCGCTAATTACGTAGAAACTACACACACTGTACACTTATATTTTCGAGTCGTAGAATTCCCCGTCCAATAAATACTATATATAATATCTTTATTTACTTGTCACATACGCGTACAGGATCGTTGGCGGATACGAGACCATCGTGTTCGGTCTAACAACCTTTTTGTATGTGTAAGTGACAGTGGGTTTATATATAAATATTTATTAGATCTGTCCAGTGTGGACGGGTTAGGTATGTAAGCATGGCATGTATATGTATTTACTTGTGTTCTTGTGTACTTTCTTTTCGTCAGAGTTTCAGCGGCGCTTACTCGTTATTCTCCGTGTACAAATTGCGGAGGGATATGCAGGAGTATATCCTTCCCACTATAGTGTACTCGGAGAACAGCGGGTAGGTGCTGCCAAAATTTTGACGAATTAAAAGTACACTTGAACACATGTAAATACATATACACGTCACGTTTACATACCAAATGGGATAGAAGCCTTCCTCTGATAGCCGGTCACACACGCGCTCCTCTGAATACACGTTTACAACCTTAAATAAAAATAATATATGTAGGGATATGCTCACTTCCATTAATTTTTAAATTCTAGATGCGGACAGTTTCTGACAAACCGTTCATAAGCATACCACATGATCGAAGGCATCTATACACCCGATACAAGGATGAGATAGAAGCTTTCTTAGCCTACTCTGACACAAACCCTCTACGGTCACTGAGCGGGGCGATTTTCTATCTTTGTACGAATTGTAGGAACGGTAAAATGCTCGCTAGGAGTGGCGATTGGGTGGTGATGGAGGGGGAGGGGTGTGTGGAGTGTGGTTGGTTGGTGGGTGGGTGAGTAGGGGCTTTGGTCATGGTTGAGGAGGGGGAGTGGGGATTTGGTTGTGGTGGTGGTTGAGGGGGGATGGGGTTGGGGGATTTGTGTTGTTGTTGTTGTTGTTGTTGTTGTTGTGTTGCGTTGTGTTGTGGTGTGATGTAGTGTTGTGTTGTGTTGTGTTGTATTGTACAGTGTTGTGTTTTGTTGTGTTGTGGTGTTGTGTTGTGTTGTGGTGTTGTTTTGTGTTGTGTTGTGTTGTTGTGTTGTGGTGTTGGGGAAATTATATTTATATTTGCATTCTTATTAACGGTTACACACCCTTGTTAACGTTTGATTTATATTTATAGGCCGGGACTTTTTCACAAGGTGCAGCCGGGGGTGGTCATAATGCAGCTGGTGTTGAGGATGATGATGATGATCAGGA